TATGAATCCACCAGTCGGTTCGCAAACCTCTTGGGCCCTTTTCATGGTCAAGCAAGCACTTTCTGGAGCTGTTGTGTCGGGCACCCGTTAGGCATAATGACCGTCGTAGCATTATGATAAATATAATGACCATTTTTCTGCCTTATAGTGTATGCGTAAGTGCCATCATAAAAGAGAAGTATTCCCTGAGGCATGAACACACAATGATGCATGAGGTCATAACATTTTTATTCATTATCATGTAAGATAACCCCTTCCATTTTTCCTTCATATCATTTTCATCATAGGTTTCTGTACATCAATTGGGGTTGTGCATTATGTTGATACATTTTGTCTATATCATTCATATCATGCATTGTGTCATATCATGCCATATCTACTCCATATCATCAACATATCATCCAAACGTGTTAAACCATAACATTTATCATATCCTTAGTACATCATCATATCACATGTCATAACATTCACGTATCATCTTATAGTCACGTTGTATCACAAACATATCATCATATCATAGTCATATTGTTTTGCAAACACATCATAGTCATATCGTTTCATAAACATAACCTAGTCATTCTTTCATAAACATATCATAGTCATATCATTTCATAAACGTATCATAGTCATATCATTTCATAAACATAATCATATCGTTTCATAGACATATCATAGTCATCTCGTTTCATAAACATATCTTAGTCACATCATTTCATACACATATCCTAGTCATATTGTTTCATAAACATATCATAGTCATGTCATTTCTTAAACGTATCCTAGTCTTATCGTTTCATAAACATATTCTAGTCATATCATTTCATAAACATATCTTAGTCATGTGGTTTCCTAAACGTATCCTAGTCATATCGTTTCATAAACAAATCCTAGTCATATCATTTCATAAAGATATCTTAGTCATATCGTTTCTTACACACACACACCACAGTCGCATCTTTCCGTAAACATTTCACACATATCAAGCATATATCACGTGTAGAAGCACGAGGCATATGTCATCATACAAATATCAACTTTTAACCGAACCGGTAATAAGGTTAGTTACTTGGTTTGCCTTAGCAGTTCTTCTCCTTACACTTGAGTACAATTGGATTCTATTTTCCGATGTTGCTCCAGGTATAATTGGAAGTTTTTTTCTATTCAAACGTCCATCTCGTTTTCATTATAACTCACATTTCTAGCCTAAATAAATATGAACTTTGAAATAAGATGTTATACTGATCTTAATTGCCTTTATTAAGGTCAAATTTAGCTATATGAGGGTAAAAAATGTAGAAATAAGTATCAAAATGTCTATACCAAGCTGAATGACAGAGTTTTGAGTTGATAATCTACACCGAGTAGAATCGAGCTGCGTTGAGCCGACTAAGCTAAAAGATTCAACGTCTGCATGCACAACAAGTATCGCTTGATCTAGAAGATGCGTGCGTGGGTCGTGAATCGGGTCGAGGCACACAGTTTGTGTCATTCTCTTGGATGGTTCTTGTGGTGCACAAGTTGTGTTCGATGGTATTGGACTCAATTGGGCCGAATAATTGTAGTGGGTTGAGCGGTCGATGATGCAGGTGGGCCGAGCATTGCAAGTGGGCGTAAGGGCCTTGTTTGTAACTACTGGGCTTCGCACTAGTCGTGGGTCGAGCCTTGGGTTTGTCTTAATTTGTGCCCGGGGTTGTAATCATGGTTTACAAGAATCTGACCCGACCCGATGGATCCTTTCTTCTCCACACGACTGTATGTGAATTTTTTGAAACTTTTTTCTCTCTTCTAAAGAGCTCCTTGCCGTCGACTTTTGATCCCTTTTTCCTTCTTCATGTCTTTCCTCCCTCCTCCATGAATTCACGTAGCCGTGGATGTGACTACCGTTGTAGACCTATGTTTCGTTTCAGATTTCTGAAACATCCACACTCGTCTGCAATTCCTCGTCCCCACCATGAATACGATCTCTTTATTTCGGTCTTTTTCTCTTTGCTTCCTTCTCCAACTGATTGAAATATCATCTATACATCAAGGGAATTTTAAGGGCGATTTTAAAAAAGAGGTTGCGGTTCAGTTTGCCTGAGTCCCTACATTAAACCCTGGGTTACTAACAGGACGTACTATTTCCCTTTGTAACTACTGGGTTACCTAGATACCCTAGGGTTTAGTGTGGGGACTTAGCGATTAAACTCACCAATTTGCGTTCATAAAAAAACCACAATGATCGTTCATCTTCTCTATTACTCGGATTTCCTTTATTGTAGGCATGTGTTGTGAGGGCAGACTAGGGTGTGGCTTCGTTTTGTGTATACTTGACTTCGGGGAGGGCATGCGGGTCGAGGGTGCGAGGATTCCGGCGCTTCACCGAAATTCTCGGGCTTTTCCGGCGATTGGATTATTATTATTTTTTAAAACCATTACAAATACAGTTTAAAATTCAAGTCTTTTTTTGTTTTTTTTTTGTAGACAACAATCTTTTGGTGCAACTTTAGTGGCAATCTTGGACGTGCTTCATTCGAGGTGTTTTGGCTGGATAATGATGTTTGGCTTCAAGAACGATGCAACTATTTGCATTGCATTTCAGATGTTGATGAAAAGGGCTTTTGTAGTGATACGAGTTTCGAAGAAAAAAAACAAAAAAATGCCGGATATCTCGCGATTTCCTACGAGGGTTACTAATAGGACGTACTATTTCCCTAAGTCCCCACACTAAACCCTAGGGTATCTAAGTAGCCGTCTTTTTCTTTGAGTCGTTGTTGTACCTGTGAGAGAGGAGCAGAAAGATTGAGGTGAGGAATCGATAACGTCGCGAGGCTTCATACCTTTGTGACTTCTTAGGTAGGGGCGAATAAACGTCGAGGCACTTCGTAATGAGAAGGACAGACGCATCGTCAATTACGAACATACAACGGCGGTCCCATCAGCAACAACAGTTGGGTTCCGCAGTTAGGGTTCGTTTGGACTCTCGGGTTAGGAAGACAGGGTAGTGAATCACGGGTCAGGTTCTTTGGGTACCAGCGAGCTCGCTTAAGCCAACATACGGTCCGTGCCTTGCAGTCCGCGTTTGAACACTGACTCTGAGTTGCGTACCTATTCCGACCCAAGAATAGCAACACCAGCCCCCGTCTAGAAGCCGTACGCCGTCAGTGACCTCTCGGCTTGTCGGCTCGGTACTTTGGCTTCATCGGCGGTTCCGTTGTATTCTGCATCTCGACTCGGTGGTGTGTCTTGGCAGCTCAGCTTAGCGACTCGGTATGCAAATAATATACCGATTCCTAGGTTTTCGATCCTTTTGGAGCTGTTTTCGCCCTTATTTCAACCATCTGAGGTCAGTGTAACTTCATTTTGCTAAAACAAGTTATGATAGGAACGTACCTTGATAGTTAGACATAAGGTTTAGTTGGGTTTCATTATGAAAAGATTCTAAGTGTATAATGTGGTTTTATAGGGAGTAGTTAGGCGTCACAGTTAGCCTATCGCGAGTGACTTCGACTAAGGCCAGAGAGGTAAGTAACCTTACTATTGAAGTTAGTTACTGTATATGTATGGTGGTGCGTGCCCTGTGGCCTTTGCATTTACCATGTGTGCTGCCGATGTATACTATGCTATGTGTTTTCATTGTGAAATGTCGATGTATGCCACGCTTATGTGATTCTGTTTTGTCATGAATTGTTTACCTTGTATGCATGAAATTAGTTGACATGCCATGAATGTGTTGAGAGCTTTGCATGCCATAGGTGTGGTGACTGGGGAACTATGATACCCTTACATAATGCTTAACTAAGCCATGCTATGTAACACGACAAGGGAATGAAATGTTGTATGTATAATGCCATGGAGGTAAGCCTTAGGGACCACATGCATGTTGTGTGTCATGTGCATAGGGTTACATCCCCATTATGTTATGATGGTACGAACGCGTAGATTCGGTATTATGCTCGCTATGATATGATGAAGGCCTTTCCTTTTCCATGGCGTCTAGTAACATGCATCACGTGTACCCGACCAAGCCTGGCCCATGGGGTTTGTATACGAATTCACTTGGTGGGCCCACATTTACGTACATGGGCCGTGTGTGGAGAAGTACCACACATCCACCCTACTCGGATAAAGTAAGGGCCTAAGGCCATGTAAAGGGAATGGAAGACAGGTCCCCCCCTCACTTTTTTTTGCTTGTATTTGTGCATGTGTGCTGAATGTGATTTGCATGTGTTATGAATGTGTATTGTATGCCTAACCCCAATAGTGGTGCAACTTATTGGTTATTTTATAAAATACTCAAGCCACGTGCTACCTACATTTTCAGGTAAAGGCAAGGCTCCCTGTACGGTTGACGATGAACACTTTGAAGATCATGGAAGTTAAAAGGAGGGCTTGTAGGACAGTAGATTCTCTATTCGAGATTTTATTTGAATAATAAATAATTGCATTTGTTTTCCCTAGTTAGTTGTTGGTTGACTCCCGAGTTTGGTTGATCCTTCATATTATGAACCTGCTTATAAAAGCCATGTCATTGTTATTAAGGTTTTTTTTATATGAGCCTCCACATTTTTCGCCTTTATGAATGCAAGGTAACGTCGCTAATTAAGTTAAAGAAAATTAGAGGCGTTATAGTTGGTATTAGAGCGCTAGGTCATAGATCTTGTAGACTGGCCTACAATGTAGGCATATGGTACTTCCATGGTCCTCTAGCAAATGCACCGTCACGTCAGGTATATGTTCCTCTTTTCTTTTGAATTGGAAATTTGTAATTAAATGAAGCATATAGTAGGAAATGTGTATTTTGTGATGAGTGATGTGATATGTTACATGATGTGACAAGATTAGTTGTAATATGATATATCTAGTGGCTATTATTAACGTATGTCTGTATGCATGTGCAACCTGCGTCATTGTAAATGTTCATAGAATCTGATAGATTAATATGTGACTCAGAGCTACTGCTATGTTTAGATATGCCACCTAGAACATGAGTTGGGGGTATTAGGGGATGACCCCCACCTATGGGCAGAGGGAGAGGTGGAAGAGGACGATGTCTGGATCGCGAGGACTCCGTGGAAGAGCCTGCTGTAGTCATGTCATTCCCACCACCAGTGACACCTCAGCCCACCCAAGACTCGACAACTGCGTTGGTGGACGCATTGCAAATCATCATACGAAACCTATCTAGTAATCAGCAAGCTAATGACACAGTCTCTACCAGGGAAGCTTGGTGCTTGTGGGATTTCAAGTGGGATGACCCACAAACCTTTAAGGGAATGTTCGATGACCTGACGGTGGCACAGTTGTGACTGAGTTCGATAGAGAGCATGTTTAGACTGACGAATTGCCTTGAAGATCAAAAGGTGGAGTGCACAACATTTATGCTGCGTGACGATGCTCAAGTGTGATGGCGATGATGGTGTTGTTATAACATATGCGTAAGCAATTTGGATCTTAGGCACTTTAAGTACATCAATTATAGTAAATTAGCTAGCATGTTCATAAGCATTAAAACTCAAGGAGTTTGAGTACTAACCTTTTGTAGTTCAAATTTCTTTTTCCTCACGAACTGGTTTCGAACCACCACTAATGTCTTCCCTACTATTTTCTGGCCTTAGAACGGGATTGTGGAATTCGGTAAGTGACTAAACTTTGAAGGGATTTAGTATATGTGAAGAGAGAGTTTGTGAGGGTTTTTCTCAAGGTTTTTCCAAGCAGACTTTTATGTACGTTGATCACTCTATTTATAGAGTGATATTTGCATGTTCATGCAAATTTGAGATTACCAAATTTTGACACTCAAAATTTCACTCAAATTTGTGGGATTATGGGCAAACATGCAAGTTTGTTAAACCATATATTGACACTCAACATTCCACTAACTCAAACATGGATTTTTCCATAGAGTGAAGTCAACCTTTTGACTTTCCCTATTTTAATTCAATAATTAATTTAAATAATTAATTTCAAATCAAAATAATATTAAATGATTAATTAAACAATTTAATTAATATTTAACATTAAATCGAATGTCAATCCCAATCTTATGAATCCCTATTCACAATTAAAATATTTAAATCTTATTTAACTATCTTAGATTCTCTTTTTTTGTTTAATTCGTAAATAAAAAAAAATGCGGTTAGATATATCGTATATATGTAGCGCATATTTCCTAATTTGAATTCGAACACTTTGAACTCACTCGTCACACTGTTCTATGGTTTAGTCCGATATGAGCTAGCAGAGGAACCTAATGGACCTATAGATCATGGGCTCCAACGATCCAAGATTAACCGGCTAAACTCATTAACCTTGTTAACCAACATTCGTTAACTACTAGGACACTCCACTATAGCCTAGTAGTTGCACTCCCCTCACTATAGATATATTTTTGTCCATTTGATATAACCATGATTAGTAAGTCGATCCTTCACAGGTTGTTCGTAACTAGAGCTGGGTCAATTTACCGTTTTACCCCTTAAGTTACTTCTTGTTCCTTATGTCTTACTGATCCTCTAATGAACAATTGGTTTGTGGTCCAACCAATAAACCGAATCCCTCTCAGGCCAATGAGAGGGTGGGGCCCCTTGTTCAAGACCTGGAGTCAGTGCTTAAGGGAACTACCTCTCTTCTATCCCTAAAAGTGGGTAGGAGTGAATTCCATCTTGCACCCCATGTCCCCAGCCATTCACCCAGTCTTACCCCTGAAATGGGAGGCCTATTGAGTCGACGAACTAGAGTCACTCTCACCCATGCAAATCTAAGGATAATTCCCAATAAACAAGAGTTCATGGTTAGCTCATCATTAAAACCGACTTACCTAGGTTATCGAATGAAAAGAAAATCAGTCTCAACAGTAAACGACATTATAAAGTGAGAGTGGTTTTTTTCATGATCCGATCTTATGCAATACTCATTGCATAGGACGCCCCCACTCACATGCCTTCACATGTACAATTTAGTGATCACATTGTTTATATCATATACAAAAGTGGGCCGCATCCATAGTGTCCCAGGATAAGGTACTCAACCTTATCCCTATACTATAGATCATTTTGACTATATACTTTAACTTGATCCACTCTTATGTCTCTACATATAGTTCAAGTAATCATACTATAGCCAGAGTATTCTTAGTTTATTGGATTTTAATTAATGATCGTAAAGTTCACTTTATTCAATAACGATCTTTACTGAATAAACATCAATAATAACTTTATTGAAAATAGAATATGTTTTTGTTTACAAACTATGAGTTTTAGGACATAATACCCAACAGGCGATCCACCTGGGAGATTATTAGACCCGGGGGTGAAATCTCGTGGACAGAATTCAAAGAGGCATTTGCTGAGGTATACTACCTAAAGGACATCCAGATCCGCAAACATCAAGAGTTCACCCAGCTAACTCAGAGAGGGCGTTCGATAACTACTTACGCCAGGGATTTTGCCAAGCTGAAATGCTTCATCCTAGACTTGGTATTCACTGATTACAAGACGACTATCCGGTTTGTGCTGGGGTTGGATAGAAAGATCCGTAATGTTGTTGAGGTGATAACACCTACTACTCATGCTGCCGCCCTAAGAGTAGCAAGGGCCATGGAGGGAACCGATGGATCGAATGAGTCCCGCTCATCGACGGAGAGACAGAAACGACCTCGTGATTGGGATGACTGTCGTGATTAATCACCATCACCGCCACCAAGACAATCAGATAGACAGCGTCGTGATTCCGGACGGGGCTAGCAGAGAAGGAAAAGTAGATTAGATGATAGATCCAAGTGTAACGAGTGTGGGAAGAACCATTGAGGTGGTGCTTGGCTTGCTTTGGAGCCTGCGTTCGATGTGGGAAGGATGGTCACTTGGCTAGGGACTGTCCGAGAAGTCGTACCAATAATGTTGGGGATCAGCAGAGACCATTACGCATAGCAGATGCCTCCACTCAGAATTGTCCTCCAGCGATAGCCTATGCCTCCACTAGCAAGGACACTAAAAACCTTGATGCGGCGGTGATTGGTACGCTATTCGTTCTTGTCCACTTTGCTTTGATATTGTATGACTCGGGGTCTACGCATTTGTTTATTTCCACTACTTTTGTTAGTCAAGCAAATCTTGTGTTAGAACCCTTGTTACAGGATTTCTTAGTAGCCACTCTGCCAAGTGTGGACATGGTTGCTGCTTATAGGGTAAGAAATGGTCGCATAATAGTATCAGGAGTTAGTTTAGACGTAGACTTAATGGTTGTTGATATGACCGTGTATGATCTTATTTTGGGCATGGATTGGTTAGCGGAAAACCATGCTTGCATAGATTATCACATGAAAGAGGTTATTTTTACGCCACCGCTCAAGACCAGATTCAAATTCAAAGGCACGAGTTTGAGTTCCATGCCCAAGGTGATATTGATGATGAAGGTGAAGAAGCTGGTCCAACACGAAGTCTGGGCGATACTAGCTAGTGTGGTGAAAACCAAGAAAGAAGGACTCTCCCTAACCACGTTGCCTATAGTGAATGAATTCTCGGATGTGTTCCCAGAGGACTTGCCAGGAATCCCTCCAACCTGAGATGTCGATTTTGCAATAGAGCTGGAGCCAAGTACCAGCCCTATATTTAAGGCCCCATACCGCATGGCTCCAGCTGAGCTAAAAGAACTCAAGAGCAATTACAAGAGCTACTGGACAAAGGATTTATAAGACCTAGCGTGTTGCCTTGGGGTGCGCTGGTGTTATTCATCAAGAAAAAGGATGGTTCAATGCGCCCGTGCATCGATTACATGGAGCTGAATAAGAGAACGGTGAAGGATAGGTATCCCCTCCAACGCATCTAGGACTTATTCGACCAGCTTAGAGAGGCCACAGTGTTTTCAAAGATTGATCTTGGATCAGGCTAGCATCAGATCAAGATAAAAGACAAGGACGTATCAAAAACTACTTTTAATTCAAGGTATGACTTTATGAGTTTGTGGTGATGTCATTTGGACTCACCAATGCCCCTGTAGTGTTCATGGAGCTAATGAATCTGGTGTTCAAGGAATATCTGGATATTTTGTCATTGTATTCATAGACGATATCTTGGTATACTCAAGGATGAATCAGGAACACCAAATGCACCTGAGGAAGGCCTAACAGTTGTGAGAGAAAATAAATTGTATGCCAAGTTCTTGAAGTGGGAGTTTTGGTTATGCGAAGTCTCTTTTCTAGGGCATGAGATATCTGTGGAAAGGGTGTCAGTTCATCTCGCCAAGGTATAAGCAGTCACCAACTAGGCTCATCCAACTACAGTTACCGAGGTATGTAGCTTTTTGGGTCTTGCAGGCTACTATCGACGCTTTATATAAGATTTTTTCCAAGATAGCGGCACCCCTTGCGCGATTGACTCGAAAGACTATGGCATTCGTATGAACCGAGGAGTGCGAGGCAAGCGTCTGAAACCTAAAGGAGAGATTGGTGATTGCACCCGTGCTCACAATGCCTGATGGTAGAGGGAACTACGTCATTTTCAGCGATGCTTCCAAGAAGGGTCTAGGATGCGTGTTGATGCAACGCGAGAAAATTATTGCCTATGCTTCCAAGCAATTGAAGGACTATGGAAAGAATTATCCCGCTCATGACTTGGAACTAGCAGCGGTAGTTTTTGAGTTAAAGATATGGCGACACTACCTTTATGGGGAGAGAACTCAGATTTATACTGACCATAACAGCCTGAAGTATTTCTTTGCCTAGAAGGAGTTGAATATGAGACAACGACGGTGGTTGGAACTAATCAAAGATTATGACATTGACATTCAGTACCACCCCGGGATGGCCAACATGGTTGCAGATGCCCTAAGCAGGAAGATAGCTCATTCATCGGCGTTAATCACGAAGGAGCCCAGGGTGCAGGCAGACTTTTAGCGAGCTGAAATAGTAGTAGCAATTGAAGATATTAGAGCACAACTAGCTCGACTGATTGTACAACCCACTCTTTGGCAGAGAATAGTTGAGGCTCAAGTAAGAGACCTTGGTTTGGCGAGGATACTTAATGAAATGGAGACAGAACCAACTGAGGGGTACTCCAAGTCATCTGATGGTGGATTGTTGTATCAAGGTCATTTGTGCTTATTGGCGATAGAGGAATTGAGAAATGAAATACTGAAGGAGGTGCATAACTCCCCAATTCTCATGCACCATGGCGGTAAAAAAATATATGAGGACATCAGACCACACTTCTAGTGGTGTGGTATGAAGAAGAATATCGCGGAATTCGTCAATAGATAGTTGGTTTGCCAACAATTCAAGGCAACCAGACAGAGACAAGCGGGGTTGCTACAGTCGCTCAGCATACTAGAGTGGAAATGGGAGAACATTGCCGTGAATTTCATAGTGGCCTACCTAGGACGTTGAACGGTTATATGGTCATATGGGAGATTGTGTTTAGATTAACAAAATCAGCGCATTTCCTCCCTCCAAAAGTAGAGTTATACCAAGTCCTCCAAAAGTGAGTTATACCAAGTTTTTTATAGTTAATTTTGCACTCATACTCACTATTTTCTATTAATTGCTCCATTTATTCTAATTAGTATACATGAAATAGTCAATTGTGGTTTAATATGAAAAGAAGTACAATTTGCATAAATCGAGCTTAATTGTATACTTAATTGAGTTATTTGGTAAAATTCTAGAACATTCATGCTGAACCATGATGCTGTAGCAAATCTGGAAACAACACTGCTTGCATCTGGAAATACATTGCTGACTTTGATGCAGAAGCAATTCGGAAAACAAATTTTTCAGAGATGACATGGAAATTTTAATTCACATCAGCAGTCCATGTGGGTCATTGACTATCAAATTAGAAACGTTTTAGGTGGACGATTTTATCCTTTCTCAGCCCTGAATGAGAAGAAACAAACATTATAAAAGAAAAAGGATACCTAAAATAAGGGGGAGCCACACTTTGGGAGAAAAATCAGATTAGACAGCAGCAGCTTCTGCGGTAGTGAACTGCTGTGAAATTAGAGAAGAAGAAGAGAACCCTAAACCAGCAATTGTTGACAGTAGAAGGAAAAGGAGACCAACAAGGATTGATTAGGGCAAAGAGGTGGACGTGAGAGCTCAAGGGAAGGGAACTTCCATTGACGAATGACAACAAAACAGGATAACTCTCTATTTCCTTATTCTCTTTTCATATTCCATCAATTTTACATGATTGAGATGCAGATTCCTCTGTTTAATTCAGTGTGTATGAAGAGCTAAACTTTATAGGGGAGGCGAGAGAGTTTTATATAGTTTAAGTATGTTGACGGTATGATCTTAGTTTATTAAAGAGTTGTTAATGATTTACATGTGTGTTTAATTAGATATTTTACATACTTAGTTGTTCTCTTATTCGGGAGAAGAGAGGAAGCAATGAAATCTTCTTTAATACTCTAGTTCCATTGCAAGGAGACTTGAAGGGTAATAGAAGGGTTAGGAATAATTTTTCTCCTAGAGCCTTGTTAATAGAAATTACAACGATTATGGAAATAATCACCATTCATGATCCTCGGAAGTGGGCTTGAGAATCTATTTAAAGGAACTTAAATCTATCACAAAACTCAACAACTTATCTATTTAATATCTCTTGGGCTCATCCCCTTCGGTGATACGTACTTGGTAGTACCCTGATCGTAAGTCCACCTTCGTGAAGTATTTAGCCCCGGGAAGCTAGGCAAACAAGTTGGATATTATCGATAATGAGTATTTGTTGCGTACAGTTACCTTGTTTAAGGCTCTATAGTCTATGCATAGACATAACATCCCATTCTTCTTCTTTTGAAATAGTATGGGGGCTCTGTAGGGTGCCTTTGCGGGGCGGATGAATTCCGTCGACAACAACTCGTCTAGTTGTTTCCTCAATTCGGTTAGCTCAGGTGGAGCCATCCGATATACGTTCTTCGCTAGCGGTTTGACCCTGGGGTGGAGTTCAATTTCGTGATCGATGCCTCGATGAGGTGGTAATGTTTGTGGTGTAAGCTCTTTGGAATTATGTCAGCATAGCTAGCTAGGACATCCTTGATTTCGCTTTGAATAGTCTCATCAGCGGTCACGTCTTCCATCTGAGGCATAGCCATAAATGTGGGTTCTTCTCGTGCGAGTGTTCTTTTCAATTTTGTGATAGAGATTATTCTAAGATTACCTGATTGCTTGATTCTTGCAAGTACTACTGTGGGGTTGTAATTTGTAATCACACTAGCAAATTGTAATTGGTAATCACCAAGCACTTTGCTAGTGGCATTGGGATGACTTTGTGTTCTAGTTGGAAGTCCATCTCAAGTACTACGTCGAAGTCGTCCATATAAACCATGTCAATGTCCATTTCTCCTGACCAGGTCGTAAATTTCAAGGGGACTCTTTTGGAGACTCCTACGATAGGCAAGGCCTCGAAGTTGATAGCTTTCATTTTTTTGGGGTTCTATTCAATGGTGAGTCCCAACCTTCGGACTTCTTGGTCAGCAATGAAGTTGTGGGTCTCACCTGTGTCTATAGAGGTGCTCTTGCTCAGTCGCGAGTTTATCAACTCGTCTATGAACATAAGCCCTTTCTCTATTATCTTTTTCGGGTCGACCTTCTGTTGAAGGGCTGACAAGAATTTGAGTGCACCCATCCGGGGGTGTCTTGGTCTTCCTTCTTATCTTATGTAGTATCGACTCCTCTGTCGTTGCTCTCTTGAATGGACACTTGGACTGCGCTGAGAGAGTCTCGGTGAGAACAGTAGAGGGGGGCCTTTACATAACAGGCACTGTAAAGGCGTCGTTGGGTAGTTCTTTTGAGGGTAAGGTCCTCGAGATGTCAGCGGATGGTTATTATGAGGAGGTCTATCTACCCCTCCATTTTTTTTTGTCGTTACTTCCATTTGGCCTATTGGGCCTTTGTTTTGATGACCCTGTGGCTTATATGCTTTGCCCTCAGTTTTTGAGGTTTGTGTTATTTTTCTTTGGAAACTAGCTCCGCTTCTAAAGTCTAGGAAATTTCGGCGCTGGCGATTACGGTGGCTAGGTCTTGAACCTTTTTCTCGTATATTTTTGTCTTGGCCCACGGTTGCAACCCATTTTTGAAAACGATTATGTTGTCTCTCTAACATGCCCCTGATATCCAGCATCAAGGCTGAGAACTGCCTGACATATTCCCTTATGCTTCCAGTTTGTTTTAGTGCTAATAGTTTTTCCCTTGCTATGTATTCTATGTTTTCGGGGAAGAATTGGTCCCTCAACTCTCTCTTGAGGTCTTCCCACGAGTCGATGGTCCATAATCCATTTTCAATGTCTTGCATCTTTGAATTCCACCAAAGATTTGCATCGTCTGTGAGATGCATTGTGGCTACTATCACTTTTATGTCTTTAGTACACCCTCCTGTTGCTTTGAAGTACCGTTTGACATCAAAGATAAAGTTCTCCAACTCTTTGGTGTCTCGGTTCCCTTTGAAGGCTCTAGGACATGGGAGCTTCACTTTGTTGAGTCCTGCATGAGTTTGCCCTGAAGTGACGTTCTCCATAGCTTTCATGGTCACCAAAATTCGAGTGTTCATCTCGGTCATCTCAACTTTA